CTCGTTTGTAATCACTCCTTTGGCAGGACAAGATCAAACATATTCAAATGATTACATTTGCCAGGGTCTCTGCTGCATCTCATTACCCAAGCAGGCCTCTTTGCAACCTTGAAATAATGTTTAAAATTCTCAGGGAGGGATCTGTGTTTTAAAATGGTTTGCTCCTTTTGTTTCTGCTATGTAAGTAGTTCCTTTTCTGCAAAACTTTAAAGTGATAGTACTTGAAAATTTGAAGGCATGCTTTCAACAACAAAGGCATAGTATTGGCGTAAAATAGTCTCTGGTTGTAAAAGGTAACAGTGTGAATGAAAGGGGTGGTGAAAAGCTTGTACATTATTAAAGAAGCAGAAGAGCATGAGGGAAATTAAAGATGTCTCAAATGCAGACTGGTAGACTGCAAATCTACAGATTTTCTTCTTTTTTTCTCCCACCCATTCATCTATTCTTTACCAAAGTATCTTTGCAACTTAAACATTTGATATTTGCAGGGTTATAACTAATCTGAGAGATTTAATAAAGCATTAAACCACTATGAATTATAAACTAAGTCTCATGATACATAAAGTCAATGTTTGGAAACCACTAGGGCTGGATTTTTAACAGCTTAAATTCTGTAGTTCAAACCAAAAACTTTTGAATCTCGTTAAAAAAAAAAAAAGAATAAAAAACAGAGTTAATTACATCGAACACATGCTGCAAAGAGCATAGGAACATCTGTCATTTGAGGGGACATTGTGTGACATTTTCTTTTCTACTGCCTGAAATCTATGGTTGCATTTTCATATGTACTATTATTCATGTATAATCATCTCCACTAATAGTGAGATACGTTTGCATTAGCAAAGAATTTTACATAAGTTTATATACAAGGCTGGTCGCCTGTTTGCGAAGTGCTATGATAGTCTGTCATTTTGAAAGTATGGATGCTGGCAAGGGATAAAATAGTATAAGTGTGCAGAATAATAATGCGTTTGCCCTTGCTGGTAGTTCAGTGGGATTGAGAGGCAGCAGTGATGATTAGTTGGAGACATTAACCCAGCAAATAAGAATCTGCACTACTGCAACACAACAAAGGGTCATGCATACAGTATGCAGCACCATCCCCGAGAAGTGATGAAGAGCTTAAAAGACAATGAAACCAGAGAAATTAAAAAGAAAATACTGATATACACGGAACAAGCTTCCTTAAGGTGGAAAGAGCTAATGAAGGAGAAAGATTTTTAAAAGGGAAGCTGAAGTTACCATGTTTCTCCTACAGTTCACAAGTAAGTGAACTGTACTGTCTAAGTCAGCGTAAAGCTAAACTTTTCAATTCGGTTTAATTAGACAGTGTTGCTCATTACCATAGAAACCATAACAGTAGATTGCAAAAACGTATACCAATCCTGTTGGTAAAGAATTGTAGGCTTAAGTGATCTTAGTGGCTTTCAAAGCCGCAGTGAACTCTGGCTTTTTGTCCCAGTAAATGCCAGATTGTAAAGGTTTCACTTCACATCTTTGTTTTCGACGCTTTTCACGCATAGAGGGCACCTTTGCTGCAATACATGCTCGAAAACTAAACTGGGGTTTTGTGTTTGTTTGAGTGAAATACACACATTTCCCACTAGATGGCAGTAATTCTTACACAATATCCCTTTAATGCTTCTCCCGTAAGGCACATTTGTGGGTGGGGGATTGTTTTTTTTTTCCAAACATAAAGATCTGCTTCTTTTCTTTACTCATATTTTAAATATAAACTAAACCACCAGGTGTTTTATTGGTTCCATGTGTTCATCCACATCAACCTTCTCTTCCTGCTCACAGATTAAACTCTCCTTTGTCAGGTTTCCTCTGCACCATCCAAACCCATTTCACCTTCTCTATTGTCAGACTTCTACCTTTCTCACCTAAAAATGTTCCCTTAGTAATTGTAACTAGAAAATCTTTGTTATTCAAGTTAAACTTGAGTTTTAAAGTCAATCAGAATATCAATACGATGATGACACAGAGGCTTATTTCTTCGGTAAGGCAAAGATGGAGAATATGATATTCAGGTAAATCTATTGATGCAAGGTTAAACGCAGTGGTGTCAAAAGTTCACACATTTGTTACTTAAAAGAGTTTGTCATTAATGATCTCTTTTAAGTAGAAGTAAAGATACTGCAGTTTAAAAACACTCTTGTAAAAGTTGAAGTATCAACTTGACCTTTTTACTCAAGTAAAAGTGAAAAAGTATGAGCTCCAAAAACTACTTAAAGTGTAAAAGTATAAAGTAACCTTTAAAAAAAAACAGCCAGATGCCACTATATGAATTGAAAGCTCAATTTTTTGAGTATTTCGAAGCATTCTTTGAGATAGGGCCGAGGATGAGGGAGGTCTTGTTGGTCTCCATCTCCCGATACGCTCTCGCCTGTTTCCGACCTTTCAGACATTTCAACATCTTTTTCTGAATCCAACATTGTAGCATGGCATAGATAATTCATGTTTTTAGTTTGAAGATCACCAGCTTGCTTCTGATGATTTCCTTTAGCTAACCAATGAGTGTTTGCATTATATGACTCATCCAATTACACTAGTTTTCACTAGATATGGATGGCACCAATGATCTGCATTGGATGGTGCACATGACGTGAAATACATTTTATAAACATTAAACCGAAGCCAAGAATAATGAATAATGTTTGTTTTAAAAATGTAAGGAATAGAAAATACAGATACTTGTGGGAAAATGTAATGAGTAGAAGTCAGAAGTAGGAAGAAAAATAAGTAATGNTCGGTAAGGCAAAGATGGAGAATATGATATTCAGGTAAATCTATTGATGCAAGGTTAAACGCAGTGGTGTCAAAAGTTCACACATTTGTTACTTAGGAAGAAGTATAGATCCTGCAGTTTAAAAACACTCTGGTAAAAGTTGAAGTATCAACTTGACCTCTTTACTCAAATAAAAGTGAAAAAGTATGTGCTCCAAAAACTACTTAAAGTATAAAAGTATAAAGTAACCTTTAAAAAAAAAAACACCCAGATGCCACTATATGAATTGAAAGCTCAATTTTTTGACTATTTTGAAAGATTCTTTAAGATAGGGCCAAGGATGAGGGAGGTCTTGTTGGTCTCCATCTCCCGATACGCTCTTGCCTGTGTCCGACCTTTCAGACATTTCAAAATCTTTTTCTGAATCCAACATTGCAGCATGGCATAGACAATTCACGTTTGTAGTTTGAAGAACACCTGCTTGCTTCTAATGATTTCCTTTAGCTAACCAATGAGTGTTTGCATTATATGACTCATCCAATTACACTAGTTTTTACTAGATGTGTATGGAGCCAATGATCTGCATTGGATGGAGCACATGACCTGAAATAAATATTTATCAACATTAAACCGAAGCCAAGAGTAAAGAGTAACTTTTGTTTTAAAAATATAAGGAATAGAAAATACAGATACTTGTGTGAAAATGTAATGAGTAGAAGTCAGAAGTAGGAAGAAAAATAAGTAATGGAGTAAAGTATAGATACCTAAAAAGTGTACTTAAGTACAGTAAGGAGGTATTTGTACTTCGTTACTTGACAACTCTGGTTAAACGAAATAGCTGTTCCCCTGCTAGAATGAAGTGCTTTAAAAAGCATTTTCCCCTTTATAAATCTCTCTGCTTTTACCTTTTTTTTAATCAAACCTAAATGTTTTAGGTCATTAAACAAATTGCAATCCCAGAGAAAGTTAATTAGAATAGATACAACTGCAGATTTCAATGAAAGTTGAATTTACTGATGAAAAAAAAAAAGCTACCAGACTAAAAGATCCAAGTCTGCATGATTGCATTCCTGTGTTACAATGGAGGCCTTTTAAGTTTTACAGTATATTTGAGGTTAAAGCAACTTCCGTCCTGAAATAAAAACAAAACTTTATTTGATTTCTAGACTGGTTGATGCACTTCAGACCTCTTTCCTGCTGCATAAATCTGCATAAAAATGCACTTGAACTGAAGGTAGGAAAAACTGAGTGTTAGACATTCAGAATCTTCTAGTTGTGAGGAGAACACATGCACTTCCATTGATTTTAGCAAGATGTTCATTTTCTATATAAACAAGACAAAGCAGTCGCAGATAACCATCACCTTCTGTAATTTGATATTTCATATATGTTTTAAACGGTGCTTTATGTCAGACACCACAGGACCCACACCTTCTACAACATTCACACATTATAACAAAGGTATTTGAAATTATCATTAAGATCAGGGGTTCCCAAATGTCCCTATGCCACAGCCCACTGAAAGTCTCAAGCTTTTGGCAGGGGACCAGCTTTGTAAGCCAACAGAGAAGGATGCATAATCTATAAAGAGAAATCTACTTTCTGAACCAAACAAGTAAAGAACCTGTGACGATCAGAGCAAAGCAAAAGATACCAAACGTCTCAAAAGTATGTGTTGCAGGAAGGCTGAGTTTTATCTCTCAAGATCATATACATGTCATTGCGCACATATTTTTTTTTTTTTTTTTTGTACTTTTTTTGAGTATCTTTGGAGTTTAAAGGCAAGACTCAAACAAACAGCTCTTTGCAAAAGGAAGCAGGCAAATCAGAGACAACCTGTCAGTTCAGCAGGGCTGGTATAGACAGAACCTCAGAGCTCACTGATAAATCCTTCAAATGTGACATATGTCATAAGTAATACCAAAATCAAATAAGGTCTAATTTAAAAAAAATAAAATCATTTATTCTGTTGGTGTTTCTGTTCTTTTCATTCTTATTTTCTGAGCTAACTTTAGCGCCCCCTGGTGGCCTTCATTTTGAAAAACATTGTTCTTGCATGCAAAAAATTCTACTCAAATCTCCTTTATATTGTCGGTTTTAAGATTAAAATGATTGCCAACGAATTATTAACTCTGATAAAAACTAAGGCAAGTGGTTTCCTTTAAAATCTGTTAAGTGATTAAAATAATTTTATAATTAGAAAATACAGAAATAGAAGCTACAGATATTAAATAAAACTCGACAGGTGGGTTCGTGTGCTTTTCTTTATTCTCCTGACAACCAAAAGTTTTAAACAATTACAGCATCACCTTTCACAGTTTATATTTAGCTATCAGGTGCAAACTGTTTTTTTTTTTTTTTTTTTACACAATACTCTAAACGCTTTACATGCAAATCTAAAAGTTATTACAGTATTGAAGGCTGAAAACAATTTAGTCGCAAAAATAAGGCAAAATGTGCTGCTCTACACTGTTAATAATTTAAGTGTAAAAAAAAAAAAAAAAGGAAAAAAAAGGAAAGGATTTGAACTATTTGTTTGGGTCTAAATGTTGCTTTCACCGCGTGTCCTTCACCTGTAAATCCAGGTATCATGGACAATACATACCAAAAATCAATGCCCAAACCTATCAACCTATATACAAGAATACAGTTTTAACATTATTATTAGACATCAGCTGTTGCTATCACTATAAAAGGTTGCTGGTGATATCAAGTGAAAGGCACACAGAGGCAAAGAGTGGAGATGTTAAAGTGTAACTAAAATAATTGCTATTTACATATAAATAAAAGCTGGTTATGGAATGATTAAAAGCTTTTTGTTGTGCTTCTGGTGCCAAATGTCTTCATTATTGTGATATGACTACATTAAATCTGTGCAAATAAACGGATATGCGAGATAAAAACACAAGAAAAAGAAACATTTGAAAACATGTCAGCAGTTCATTAGTCTCTCTGTAGCGACAAAGTGTAGAAAGTAAACTGTGCATCAGAAGGTAACAGACTCAGCCTCTGTCTCACGGTGAATAATAAAGTGCTGCTAAGGTGATAATTGTCCTCAAACAAATGTGTTCAGAAAGGACAGTGTTTCTCACAGGGGATACAGCAGTGATAAGACAGCGACTGCACCAAAGGCAAACTGGGTTCGGTAAATTTCGTCCCCTACATCTGTGCAGAGTAAAGACACGACTACAAAAAGAGATTGAAAACGGAAACGTTCTGCAACATTCAGCGCTGGTTTCAGAACAGTAACGAGCATCCAGGCTGCTGGACTCAGTGGAGCACGATCAGGGTAACAAAAATCCTCTCGTTCAGTTTGGTCCACATCAGTTGTGTCGCTGAGGAAGGGCGTGCAGCTCCAGACTGTTTGAAAAGCTTGGCTTTTTTAAGACAGCACTTAAACAACGCAGGAGTTAATGGAAAGCTCTTCAGTCTGGATCAGGCCAGCCTGACCTGAAACATGTACAGTGATGGCTGAGGTGCTACAAACGATTCAGATGCATGACCCATTTTTGGTTTTAAGGCTGTAGATAACTAATTAGGTTATGATTTTACTCCAGTGTTTTTCAAAATTGTAAAACAAATAATTCAAGAAAATGATGAAAAATGATTAAATGTAATATTTTGGTAATGAAACATCACTATGAGCAAAACCAAACTTGATAACTAAATAAGTTAAAGAAAAGCAATTGACAGCTTGTCAGCAGTTTGTATAATCAGTAACTGAATTGGATTTCATTTAAAGGGCCTATATCATGCAAAAATTAAGTGTTTAACTACGTTACAATGCTTTTCTATTATCAAATTAATTACATATTTAGTATTTCACTTTATTTGATAATCCTTATTAATTCTGCTCACAAAGATGCAGCCCCACATTGTCCTGCAAAAACCAGTAGGTCTATGATGTTTTACCCCGTCCCCTCCAGGAAGCACCTTCCTTACCCTCTTTGAGCCCGCCCAAGAAAACAAATCCGCCCTATTCTCCTGATTTGTAATTGACTCATGAAACTTTGTTTTCAGCTGTAAGAGGTAAAGCAATGTGTTCAGCCTTCCTAAAAAAAAAAAGAAGCTAATTAGCAGAATTGTCATGCAATGCGCAGCACTCTTAAGCCTCATTTCCCACTGAAAGTACTGGGTTAACTCGTGTTTTTCAAACATGGGTCGACCCGCGAACAATCTGCATTTGGCTCCCTTCCCAGTTGCAAAAAAGCTGGGTCTAGTTCCTCGCTGTCAATCTGCGTGTCTGATGACACGATCACCCTTGGTTAGCGTTGATGATGTCACCAGTGCGACAGAAATCAGGAAAGTAAATAATGGAAACATGTAAGGAAGCCAGGGTGTAGTCAGTGTGCTTTATTGCTTAGCTCTTCTTTCCGAATCCCTCTTACTAGAGCTCCGCCATGTTTATTGAATGTAAATAGAATTGTTTCAGCTTGTTAGATCAGAAGCGAGTGGCGTGGTATGTCGGCATCTGTACATTGCGCTCAATGGTGTCACGTGATTAGCAGGTAAACCTGGCTCTGGCCGATCGGAGCCGAGGCGATTTCAACGCAGGTTGTTTGCCCCGGGTAGACAAGCATCAGTGAGCTTTTCCCACTGCCACTAAAAGCCGATTGTTCCCGGGTTTAAGCTGTTTTTTTGGCCAGTGGGAAAAGGGTATTAGAGGAAGAGGTGGCTTAGCAATGAGAATAGAATTCAACATTATTGTCATTCCACTGTCACAAGTACAGAGCAATGAACTGAATTCTCTGCATTTAACCCCTCCCCTTGGGGACCAGTGGGCTGCCATTGTGCGGTGCCCGGGGAGCAGTGAGGGGTTAAGGGTCTTGCTCAGGGACCCAGAGTGGCAGTCTGTGGGAGAGGGCAAACAACGTCAGGATTCAAAGCCCTATGCCCTAACCACTAGGCAGTGTCTCTTTCTTTCAGCTTCCCTAATAATTCATAACCAGTGAATACTCTGCAGTGCATACGGCGATATTCATCATATTTATGCCTAGAATTAACTTTAAAAAAGGTTAAAAAAAAGCATGATATAGGACCTTTAACTGTAACATTGGGACCCTTCTGTAAGGGAACAGCCCCACCTGGTGGAGGGACACAGTAGCACAACAACAGTAATGGAGTCTACAGAAATACAGTATGGTCGATAAAAAAGGGAATTTTTGCACAGTGAACCTCATTTACAGCTATAGCACTCATTAACCCGATAGTGCACTATAAAAAGCACAAAGTTCATACGGTCAAATACTTATAGAAAAATTGGTATTAAAAGATGGTGGAGTGATGATGGATCTCTTCCTTCTTTAAATTTTTTTTGAAAATATCAAAATCCTCCTGATATCTCATCAGCTCTTCTCTTCCCCCATTGGGGCGCCTCGGCTGTCAAGGTTTTATTTTGTTTAAGAGCAAAGCAGTAGAAGAGGTTGCTCTGGAGATAATGTCCGAAATGGGATGACAGGAGTTAAAATTAGTTCTACCAGCAGATACGTCTAACAAGCAGACCCTCCTGGTTCACGCTTGGGCTGCGTAAAAAGAGAGAGTTTGTCTAAAATGTTTGCAAATGTTGACTCAGAGCTGAGAGTCCGCTCCCAGGCTGTTCAGCTCCTCCGGGTGTTTAAATGCTCCCCCACCGGCCGTCTGACGGAAGCCTGCAGCGATGTCGTCGAACGTCCTGCCTCTGGTCTCTGGCACTTTGAAGAACGTGAAGACGAAGAACATGAGCAGCAAGATGGTAAAGATGATAAACACGTAGGGACCGCAAAGTTCCTGTGAAAACATGCAAGAGAAAAAGAGTTAGAATAAAATGCAGGAAACACTATTTTCACAACATATGTGAGCATCTGTGAAAATGTGTAACTATAAAAATGCACAAGCACTAATTTTGTTCATCTTTAGTTAAGATTTCAGAACACACTTAAAGAAGCAGCTAAATAAATAGCAAGGAAAAAATGATTCATTTAAAAGTCAAATGTTATGCTGGTGTCAACCTGGCAACACCTTTATATTATGTCAACACATTTTATCTTTTACCAGAATTCTAGATGTTTTACAACATATCTTCCTTTTTTTTCTTACGTTCCAATGCAGCACTCACCGTTTTTATAAATAATTTTATATCTATTTGCGAATGCTGATGTTGGAATCCTTAAAAGCAATTTGGAGTAACAAACATTTATTTATTTATTTATTTTTTTACATAAATAGTAGACGTGCTTTTTTTAAATGTTAGAAGCTTCTACTGTGTCTAAAAAAAACACGCAGTTCTGAATCTGTCCACCAGAGGTCGAACTTGAGTTATTTTATCACTGAAATTTTTTTTTTTTTTTATCTCACCTCTATATACTGGAAGCTCATTCCTACTATAAAGTTGGCCAACCAGTTGGAGAAACCGGCTACAGCGATGGCTGATGGTCTGGGTCCCTGTGAGAACAACTCAGCTGTGATGAACCAGGGGATGGGACCCGGTCCCATCTCAAAGAAAGCAACAAAGGCAAATATGGCCACGATGCTCAAATAGGACATCCACTTGACTTGCTCCTAAAAAAAAATAATAATAATAAAAGGAAGATTAAACACATGAATGATGAATAAAATCAGGATTTAGTGTTTCTTTTAGGTGAACCTACCAGCAGAGCCAAGGCGATGGTCATCAGGACAGCAGCTCCAGCCATGCCCATCAGTCCCAGGAGATGCAGAGATCTGCGTCCTGCACGCTCCACAACAAACAGCTGGAAAACAAGAAAGATGTGGAATAAAACTCTGCATAACAGAGCTTGGGTGGCTTGGTCGATTCTTAATTCTGGCTTAAACTAACTACCTTAGCAGATTTAATCAAGTCAAATTTAATCAAATTTAACGCTAGCCTGAAACAAAGCGGAAGCCTGTATGAACTGACGATGCATTCGATGGCAGATCTTGTCAAAACAATCATTTTCATCTATACTTTTATGTAGCAGATTTAATTAACTAACATAACTTAAAGCAAGAAAATATATTAAACTATCTTTGGAAGTTAAAAAATCCAACAAAGCTGCACTTGTTTCATTCATAATGAAGGCAATACAGCTGTTAGCCTATTCAAAATATATTAAAAACTACGTACTATAAATCTTTTTATCATAGTTGGGTTTATGTCTCTAAATATTGAAATGTGCACATTTTCCTTACTAAACTCGACTTTTTTTACATTCACGTTTATAGTAGAGGTAAAAATGAATATTTATGCTATACTTACAGAAACCACGGTGAAGGCAGTGTTTACAACGCCGGCTCCGATGGTGGCATAAACAGGCTGCGGAACCTCGGCTTTTTCAAAGATCCGTGTGGAGAAATAGAACACCTAAAACAGAAAACACACGTCCCATGTCAGTAACCGCAGGCCCGTCGAACAGTTCAGAGCGACGAACTATACATATGGATGTTAACTCACAGCATTGATCCCAGAGAGCTGCTGGGAAAGCTGCAGGATGATGGAGATGATGAGCGGCTGGCGATAGAGCGGAGAGCGGAACAGTTCCAAGATGGTCACTTTTTTCTCTCTCATCATCTGCCGGCTCTCCTCCTTCATCTCCTGCATGTCGGCGCTCACATCTGTTGTCCCTCGGAGCTTCTTCAGGACTTAAATGAATAAAAAAGAAATAAAAAAGAAATTAGTTGTTAATGATTAATTAAAGCAGGTTATTCTTTGCCATATTAAACCATTGAAATCATTTAAAACTTTTAAGCATAATCCTACTTATAACAGCATGAGCTGGTTACTGGGGTCAAAGAGTAGAACGATTTTAAAACTAGGACAGAGGAAATACAGAGCATAGAGTAATATACTGTAACTCCCATATTTCTACAAACTGCTGGCCAGCTGGCTGCAATACAAAAAGTCTGTTTGATTATTCCTTCAACAGCTTCATCTGTCTGGAAACATTTACAGCAGCAGCAAACACAGACAGATGATAAATGTAGCTAACTATTATGATCTATAAGATTTAATATGTTAACTAAAATAGAAATAAACATTGCTGTCATCATATCAAATCACTTAGATTTTCTTAGCTAAAACCAGGATATTCACCTGATTTGGCTTTATTCTCCTCGTTCTTGTTGATGAGCAGAAAACGGGGGCTCTCAGGGCACAGCGGCAGCAGGGCGGTCTGTATGACAGCTGGGATGAAGATGAAGCCCAGCAACAGCGGCCAAAGATCGGCGTTACCCATGATCATCTCTAATCCGAATATCTAAAACCAACCAGAGCGCCGTCAACAAACTGCACAGATTGTTCATGAAATGTGGCGTCGGAGTCTTCTTCTAACCACTGACCTGTGCGATGAGGATGCCCACTACGATGCCCAGCTGGTGCAGCGTTCCCAAGGCGCCTCGCAGGGATGTTGGAGAGATTTCGCCGACATACATTGGTACAAAACCAGTGGAGAGGCCAGAGTAGAGGCCGACTATAAAACGGCCAATGATGAGCATCTCCCAGGACTTTGCCATCTTTGAAAAACCCATCAGAGCAGCTGAGATGAAGGCTAAAATATTGGCTAGGAGCATGGAGTTCCTCCTGAGGAAGTCACAGAAACAACAACAGGAGAAATTAGTTTCATTTACATCCCAGTGGGAATGATTTGTTCAGTGATTAACGACGGGATGCTTTCTGGGATTCCCTGATGCTATTTTACTTTCTCAGAAAGATTTGTTTTTTTCACATTAATTTACCTTCCAAAGCGGTTGACGAAGAACCCGACAGAGAAGGCACTAAAGATGCCTCCGACGGAGAACATGGAGACGGCGACGGCCCAGATGGCTGTGAGGTGGCTTTTGGAGATGGGCTCCTGGTAGCGGTCCAAATACGTCTCATTGATGAAGTTCTCAATAATCTAATGAAAAAAAATACATGATTTGTTTAATTGTGTGAATATGTTTCACAGAGACAGGCTATCAAACAGCTTCCCCATAAACAGGATCACAAAGTTACATAATCATATTGAATACAGCTTCATTCTGTACACATTTGTAATGCGATCATCAGGGTTGCATAAGGTGCTTAGAGTCAGATCATGTGCTCAGTGTTTGGCTCCTTCTTTAACCCAAACATAGATGTCAGCAGAGCAGCAACCAGCTGGGGGCAGCACTAACTAACCCACATAACCAGCGCAACCTCCTAAACCAGGAAGTTTAGCAGTGTCAGGTTTCTGCTCCCTTCCCCCACGGTGACAGAGTTTCCATCACTAACCACCGTGTCAACAAACACACCCATGAGCAGCAATAACAGCATCTATTCAGGGGCCACATCTCTCGGACTCAGAGAGGCTCCAAAAGGTCACCTAGTCTGAATGGCAGCACTTCTGCTTGCTGCCTCTCTGTCATGCGTCTCCTGAGCAGAGATCTTAATGTGCTGGAAGCTGAGGAGAGGCGAGAGGAATTAGAAAGTCAGCACTGTCCTGGCGGCGTGTTTTAAAGATCGTGGCTATCACTTATCGAGGGTTTTCCTTTGGTGAAGGGAAACATGTAGAGCTGTTACACCCCGACCTCACAGCCTGGGTCATTTCCACTATCACCTTACGCTCACAAGACCTCGCTCGGTCATATCACAAGTATGCTATCAGTGGACCCACGACCTTCACCTAAACACGTCTATACTTTAAAAGCGGTTGTATTAAGAGGAGTGCTTTTCTGACTCTGATAACCGGAAAAGGCTGCAGAGAAAATCTCCCAGCTTCAACCACTTAAATATTTGGCTTATCTAAGCTGATAAATATTTAGACCAGATATGTTTTGGATTTTTACTGAATAAAAATACTTCTGTGTGACTTTTATTTGTTAATGAGAGCTGTAAGAGTTTTGGGGCTCTTGAGTCCAGGATTAAAAAAGACATTTCCAGTTGATTGTTTTATTCTGTTTCTCTAAACATAAACAAAAAGATGTAACTCTTATGTGACTGAAAATCAGTGGACATGGATGTAATCTTTTGGGGGGACTGGGGGGGGGACATGTCCCCTGCACCTTTTCAAATGTTTGTTTTGGTCCCCTGCATGTTTTGTCCAAACACAATGTTACGCTACAGTACACAGACATTCGTCGAGCAACAGGATCAAGCTTCCCTGAGTTCAGACCGCCAACAAGCTCCTGATTGGCCCACTGTCTTTTCTTGTATGATTGGACGGTCAAAAACACTGAAGTTAGTTATATCAAAAAAAAAATTCATCCATGTCAGTCGACTTCTTATTCTAGCTCTTTTAGAACATTAAACCTGCACAGAAACCTGAGGATCAACAAAAACTATTTGGGAGTTCTTGAACTAGTGGTCAATCCGGGGTTTTATGGCCGATATCAATAATGTTTGTGTTGATTTTACTTCCTCTGTTTCCAGGTGGAAACATTACATACCTAAATGTATTCATATGCAATATACTACATATATTTTAGAAACGACTGTAGAGGGCGTGCTTCAGTGGCGCAGGGGGGCTTGGTCCTCGACACGGCTGGCCCGGGTTTGAGTCCGATTTGTGATCCTTTGCCGCATGTCTCTCCCCCTCTCTCATACCCCCCTTTCTGTCAGCCTACTGTCCATAAAAAAAGAACTGATTGTGCTATTTTGACACTACTTATTTTGTACTTTATATATTATGTTTAAATTTAGTACAAATAAACTTCAACTTAAGGTCTATTTAATGTACTTCTATGTATATATATATATATAGATATATATATATCTATATATAGATATA